ATGATAGATTAAATGTAGTATTTTAAGAGCTATTGTTGCAGTATTGTAAAATAAATTTTCGGTATGTTCATGAATCTGTTAATCCGCGGTTTCCGTTAGAAGCCTTGTTTTTAACGTAACGGTTTGGGGAATACGTATATAACACTTGTATTTATCTCTGACCCGGTTTAATGCTCTAATCATTTCCTGGTCTTCGAATCTTCAAATTGAAATCAATATTGTATAGACTGCAGATGAAGAAGTGTGGTTACAGCAGAAATCTTTTATATTTAAATCATATCTTATCAAGCTTTCATTTTAAATTTTCTGCTTTTCCGTGGTACATAGTAATGGATATTTTTACTTCCCTCTGGGGTAGTTGATATACATGTGTCACTCGTTGGTGAAACAATGAAGAAAATCCAACCGATTCAGTGGAATGAAAATGCAAAAATTTTATTGTCATCTAGATCATCTGTTGGGGTATCTTTTTCGCTACCTCACACATTCCATAATAGGTCGCATAAAACTAGAGATTGTTACCACGGAATTTTAAAAAGTTAAAAAATCATGTTTTTCATACATGACAACCATGTGGTGAATGAAAATTTCAAATTCTCAAAGTTTTGGTCTTGGACCCTTTAAGTTGAACCTGTTGTTGTTGTTGTGTAGGTTGAAATCACGTGATAGTTCTTTAGATATGCAGGACTTGGAACGGAATTTGAGGGATGCCATCGTTTACGGTCACCCAAGAACTAAAAGGCCTTATCGCAAAATATTCATTTTTGTTGAAGGCGTTTACAGCATGGAAGGAACTATACTGAAGCTGCCTGACTTGATCGCCCTAAAAAAGAAGTACAAGGCATACATTTATTTAGACGAGGCTCACAGTATAGGTAATTTATTTTTTACTATTTCTAGCTTTTCATTGTTTTGAGCTTATTGCAGTGCATGTCATAATTTCTTAACCCGAATACACGTACTAAGCTTCTGTAACTGGAAAAGACTAGTGAATAATTCAAATTGCGTAAGCTGGATCAGGAAAGTGAATCTCTCTCGTCGAAAACTGTGGAAGATTCCTCCCGATAAGACGTTGAAATATCGCTAGGCGATAACATCTTTAACCTGTTCTGAAATTTTAATCAAATCGCGTCCAGCGAAGACAGGTATAATGTCCTCTTTAGATGCCCTGGCTTGTTCACACGATTGTGAAGATGACGTCTGTCGACGTTCTTACTTGAAAATTATCAGTTACATTGAATGGTTGAAATATCATGGCAAATATTGGAGCCATGGTTTCACTGAATGGCTTCCTAGACATCTTAGTCACTGAAAAACATTGTTTGGGGTATTTAAGATTTTATTGACTGTTTATAAGAGTTTATTTATTTTATTGACTCTTTATTTAAGACTTTATTTTATTTATGGTGAATATTTCCTTTTTTACCTTCCCTTCTCTGAACGCCTGACATGTAGCTTCTGTTAAGCAGACGACTGATGTCAGCCTTCCTGTTTGCAAACTGCTGTTTAAATTAATATTAAAATAATCAAAAACTTCAGGTGACCTTGACGATCATTGTGTCCCAATATTTTACCCACACTCTGAAAACTAGTGAGTATTTAATGCCCATGCTATACATTTCCTGAAATAAATATTTCCACGATCCTTTATGTTTCGTTTAGAAAATAAAAAATTACACGTCATAAATTCAAACATGATCACATTTATTATGTTCTGTTCGGTTGTTTTCTATGCTGCTTACCTGCTTTCATAAAGAATATGGTTCTCTTAGCGTGTTTATATCCATTTTGGACTCCCTGCTGCCATTATTTTCTAACAATATAATACAATGTAGTAATTTTGTGCTCAAGATATTTCAAGACGATGTTCAGGCTGTAAATTGTACTTCGCGTGTTGCGTTATTTTTTGTTTTGGCTGAACGTAGCGTATGAAGGCCTTTTTAAAGACTGTCATTTTTTACACATCTGCGTGACATTTGATTCAAAATGTAAATAACTCATAACTTGTTCATGTAGTATTACGCAAGTACAGTTCTTAGCATGCAAGTCATGAAACCAAAACATACGGCAGAATTGTCAACGAATATCGCTTAGATGGAACGGCAGAAGTAGTGGCAAATTTCTTCTTTCATTGAGAATAATTGTCCAAATATACGCAAGTTTAAGAAGCATGTGACATCGATTTTCGCAAGTCTGATTGATCGAAACACCGGAAAGGACATTATTTTCTCTCCACATATTTTTATCAGAAATGATCTAGATTTTCATAAATCTATTTGAATCACCACGTGGTAAAATTTTTATTGTCAAGCATGGCACAAAATTTTTAAATTTTGCTTTCTAAGCAAAGGTCCTTCATGTAGTTGGAAATAGTATAACGGATTTGATTATCCATTGTTTAAGAACACCAAACATAGCTCAAGTTGGCGCTATTGTCGCCAACACGTGTGCCCTCGTGATGAAGTCGGTGTGATTGCAAAACGTGGCGGTTAAAGCTTTGATATTAGCTTTGTTTGTTGCTTTGTTTCATATCATCAAATCATTTACAGTTTCATCTGTGGGCGCAGAATCGAACATGCGAAATCTGGATGAGAAGGAATTGTTTTAACACATAGCGATGCCAATCACTACTGTTTACCACTGACTCGCTAGCTAATACCCTTAGGGTTCATGAAAGGTCATCTCAGCTGACGAATATACACTCCACAACATGCTGGCCAAATTTGCTCGTTGCTAATCCAACCATAAAGTAGATTACAGCTGCGTAAACTTTCAAGTCGTCTTGTATGTTTACAGAATATAACTATTTATCCATGATATTTTTACATCTGAATGACGCTGAATTATTTAAAGCCAAAAGCGACTAAGGTTAACTTATATCATCAGTTTTTCAAATCTAAATCTGTAAAAATTGACCTAGAAAGTGCTCTGCGTTATGCTAATATAATGATTTGGTTCTAGCCTGAAAGTGAGCATTTTAGGTGCCCTTGGCAAACGTGGCCGAGGTGTATGTGATTATTGGAATTGTAATCCAAACGATATCGATATTCTGATGGGGACGTTTACCAAAAGCTTCGCCTCTGCCGGCGGCTATATCGCTGGGTGCAAAGTAGCGGAAGCGACGTTTTTCGTTGTCGCTGATGGATAAGCTTTTCAGAAATTGATTGATCACATTCGACTGCATAGCCACAGTTCCTGCTACGCGGTGTCCATGTCTCCTCCTGTTGCTCAGCAGATCATTTCTGTCATGAACATCATCATGGGAAGGGACGGAACCGACGAAGGTGAGGCTAATAAAGGTTATGGCAGTCGCGATCTGAAACCTGGCCGCTTGGTTTTTCCTCCCTCTGAATTTTGTGAAAATATAAATTTGCCTCCTGCTTGTTTGGTAATTCAGCAAGAATAGATAGGTAGCTGCTTCTGCAGTGCTGATCTTCATTATGTTTTACGGAAAGGTTTTAGTATAGATTACTGTATTAAGCAGCGCAGTTAGCAACTAAAATTTTATGACTGTCCTTCAATTTTCCACCTTTTTGGTTTATGGCAAGTGCGTCGGTTTTATTGCTTTTTGAAATCTTCACCTTAAGGCTTTTTCATGAACAGAACGTCTCTGGTTATGACGTCCGCTGCGTTCGCAGCTTTGCAACACTTTTGCTATAAGGTAACGGTTACTACATTTCAGAAGACAATATTACTCTCTGAAAGCAATTCTGTCGCTCTCTTCTTCCATTTTCCATGTTGGTCTCCAAGTTTACATCTGCGGTGTTTCCGCTGACAAGAAGAGCTCTTGAACTCGAGTTAACGACGTTTGTTCAACAGGTTTGTCTAACTGCCAACCTCGTTTTCATGACCTGCACATCTAGCGAGGTCATTTATGCTAGGAACAGTTTTCAGTAATTACTTTTGTTCATTATGCGTTTAAGCCAACGCTGCTGCACGCACTTCCACTGCCAGCTTGCTTTTTCGTTGCAATCGTTTCCATGCCGTATAAAAAGACTGACCTTACAAAAGCAAGGTACATTTATTTTCAGAGCCAGAATATTGACCAGTTTTTAAAGGCACTAGAGGTAGGTCGATTCTCCTGCTTAACTCTGGCCGGACAATGACATCGTTGAAGAT